TAGGGTAATGATTTTAAAAGTTATATAAATAGCTTACAGGGTAACCAAAAGGGAATCTTTAGAACAATTGATTAGTAGAAAAGAAGCCAGAAAATGAGAAGTAAAGGAGGAAATATGAAGAATGGGCAAAATTATAGAGATAGATAGGAAAAATAGCAAAATAATATCAGGATGGTAGTTGTATCAGATAGTATTTTCTTTTAATTATTATTTTTGAGTTGGAGTCTCACTGTCTCCCAGTCTGGAGGGCAGTGGCACGCTCACAGCCACGGCAGCCTAGATCTGCTGGGCTCAGGTGATCCCTCCGCCTCAGCCTTCTAAGTAACCAGAACTACAGAACTACTTTGTGATTTTTATTGTAGAGACAAGGTCTCACCAAGTTGCCCAGGCTGGTTTCAATCCTGCGGCCTCAGGTAATCCATTCACTTTGGCCTCCCAAAGTGCTGGAATTACAGGCTGAGCCCAACCTCTTTTTAAATTTCTATTTGTTTTAGAGACAGTTTCTTGCTCTGCCATCCAGGCCAGAGTACAGTGGCACCATCATGGCTCAGGCAGACTCCAGTTCCTGTTCTCAAGCGATCCTCCTTCCTCAGTTTCCCAAAGTGCTGGGATTAGAAGCATAAACCACCACTCCTAGGCGAGGTGCGGTGGTTCATGCCTATAATCCCAGCACTTTGGGAGGCCAAGGTGAGAGGATTGCCTGAGCCCATGGGCTCAAGACCACCCTGGGCAACTTGGTGAGACCTCATCTCTTCAATAAATCAAAAAATTAGCTGGGCATGGTGGCGCATGCCTGTAGTTCCAGCTACTTGGAAGTCTGAGGCAGAAGGATCACCTGAGCCCAGCAGGTCAAGGATGCGGTGGCTGTGAGTGTGCCACTGCACTCCAGCCTGGGCGACAGAGTGAGACTCCTACTCAAAAAGAAAAAGAAAAAGAAATGCACTTTAAATTTAAAACTACAGATGGATTGAGAGTAAAAATATGGGGGAAAAGTCCAATGCAAACATTAACTCAAAGATAGAAAGATGATATGGCTATATTAATATCAAAGTAAACTTTAAGATAGAAGTATCAAAAGCATTAAAGGGTGATATATTTTAATTTAAAATGGGTCATTAATTAGGAACATATATCAATCCTACATTGTATCCTAATTACATATCTTCAAAAGTATAGCACCAAAGTTGAATGAACTAAAAGGAGAAGTAACTTTGGGATGCCAAGGTGAGGGGATTGCCTGAACCCACGGGTTCGAGAACAACCTAGGCAACTTGATGAGACCTCATCTCTATAATAAATCAAAAAATTAACTAGCTGTGGTAACACAGGTCTTCAGTTCCTGCTACTTGGAAGACTGAGGTGGAAGGATCACCTAAACCCAGCAGGTTGATGCTGGGGTGGCTGTGAGCATGCCACTGAACTCCAACCTGGGCAACAGAGTGAGACTCCAATTCAAATAAATAAATAAATGGAGAATTCAAAAAAATAAATAAATGGAGAAGTAGACAAATTCACAATTATGGAAATTTAACATACTTCATCCAGTACTGGTAGAACAAGCAAAAGAAGTCAGGAAGAATATAGATTTGAACAATACAATTAATCATCTTGATCTGACATGTCTAGAACCCTGCATCCTACAACTGCAGATATACATACTTTGCATGTGTCATGCTTACCAAAATAAACCATAATCTGTATCATAAATCAAGTCTTGAAAATTTTTGAGAAATAACAATCATACTGCCTATGATTCTCTAATCAGTCCTGAATTAAGTTTGAACACTATAATAGTAAGATAACTCTATGTGTTTGGAAAATAAGGCAATATATTTCTAGATAACTCAAGGGACAAAGAAGAAATAAAAATGGAAATAAGGAATCATTTTTAAATAATTGACAGTAAAATTGCAAAACCTGTGAATGCTGTACATATTAAGTTTAGATGAAAATGTGTAACTTTAATGCTTATGGTAGAAACAAATAATAATTAAAAAATAAAATATCTAGCAAGGTAGAAAAAGAAGAGCAAATTAAAAAAACAATGTAGAAAAAATAAAAAATATAGAGAAGTGCAGCAATCAGTGAAACAGAAAACAAACATGCAATATAGAATCAAGGAGCCAAAAAATGTTTATTTCAACAATTAATATCATCAGTAAATCTCTAGCAAGAACAACAAATAAAAAGAGAGAAAACAAATCATGGATAACAAGAGTAAAAATGAGGCATCACTATAGACCCTACAGGCATGAAACAGGTAACAAGAGGATATTATGAGTAATTTTATGTCATTGCATTTGAAAATTTACATAAAATGAACAGATTTTTTTGAAAAATTAAGCTTCACACAACTGACCCAAGAAAAAACAGAATATCTGAATAACTCTATAACTCTAGGCCCAGATGGCCTCATTGATGAAATCTTCCACACACTTAAGGAATACTAATCTCACAAACTCTTCTAAAAAATAGAAAAATGACCATACTTGTCTGGTGGGTTTGTACTATGTCAACTTGGATTAGTAGAACTTTCTTTTCTTTCTTTCTTTCTTTCTTTCTTTCTTTCTTTCTTTCTTTCTTTCTTTCTTTCTTTCTTTCTTTCATCTTCCTCCCTCCCCTCCTCCTCCTCCTCCTCCTTCTCTCTCTCTCTCTCTTCCTTCCTTCCTTACCTCTCTATTCTCTCTCTCTCTCTCATAGAGACAGGTTCTTGTTGTATTTCCCAGGTTGGTCTTGAACTCCTGGCCTCAAATGATCCCACCTCAGCCTCCCAATGTGTTGGGATAAAAGGGGTGAGGTGAGTCACTGCACCCGGTTAAACTTACCTTTTAGAATCCCCCTCCTCACATGGTTCTGGGTTGCAGTTGGCCCAAAGAGAAAACTGCCTGAAGTTTAGCATGGTCATTTTTCTTGGATGGTTTTTCTACTTAGATGTGGCAAGAAAGAGATGTAGTTGTGTTAGTGGGTTCCCATTTGCTCTTGCTCTTCCCTGCAGCATGAGAGAGAGATGCAAATATTCAGGACCTTGTTTCTCCCATGCTCCCTGTCCATCTCTTCTCATTTTTCCACCCTGCTGACCAACAGTGAGCCCAGGTCCATCACCAGATGCAGAGGTAATAGCCTTCCATGGGCTTCCTCACCAGCTGTCCTTCCTACTCTCACTCTGGTCATTGGACTTCCCCAGTGACTTCCCAGATTTCCCTGAAAACTCTGATCCACCTGCATTCTGCTTCAGGAGAGCTGGTTAGTGCTTTTTCACTGATCCCTTAACTCTTTCCTAGATCTTCATTCCCCAGTGTCACCTGCCCTTGTGTAAGATCTTATTCCTAGAACAAATCCCTTATCCATAAAACTCACTGTGTTTTTTCTGCTTCAAAGTGTTCCTGCTTTGAAAATGATAACATCACACAGCACAGAGAAAAGATGATGAACTGCAAGAGATGGAAGAGGAAAGACTAAAGAGACAAGACAACTAACTGCAATATGTGAGCATGGATCCTACTCAGGAAGAAAACATGCTAAAGAAGACATTATTGTGATCATTGGAACATTTTAATCTTATTGCTCTTGGGTTTTTCACAGCATTCTATTATGAAAAATTCTAAATGTACAGACACATTGAAAAAATGGTATTATGGGCACGCATGTACCTACCACTTAGATTCTGTTACCAGCATTTTACAATACAGGTTTTGATCATATTTCCATCCATTCTATACCTCCCTCTAGCTATCCACTAACTCATCTACCTTACAATGCATTTCAAGTAAATTGAAGCTGGGCACAGTGGCTCATGCCTGTAATCCCAGTACTTTGGGAGGCTGAGATGGGAAGATTGCTTGATCCAGGAGTTCAAGGCCAGCCTAGGCCACATAACAAGAACTTGTCTTTACAAAAAAATTTAAAAATTAGCCAGGCGTGGCGGCACACACCTGTAACCCCAACCACTCAGGAGACTGAAGCAGAAGGATCACTTGAATCCAAGAGGTCAAGGCTGCAGTGAACCATGATCATGACACTGCACTCTAGCCTAGGCTACAGAGTGAAACCCTGACTAAAAAATAAAAATAAATTAACTTTCAGATATGAGTACACTTGCCCCAAATAATTCAACCCACATATGATTAACTAGAGTCCTATATTTGTTAGTGTTTTTTAAAAATTGATTTAATTATCAGTATTAACTAGTAAGCTTTTCCCATTCCTGAGATGGATAGGAATTTATTCCTGTATTCTAGCCATGTTTCCTGTTTCATCTCAGATTTCCGATTAATTTGGAGTTTATACCGGCACATGATTTGGGGGATGGATCTAATCTAGATACACATATTAAGGGGGAAAGTATCTATTTAAAAATATATTTATTGGGATATAATTCACAAACCATAAAATTAACCCTTCCAGTGTGTACAGTTTAGTGGTTTAGAGTACAGTTTAGTATGTTCACAGAGTTGTGCAATCATCACCGCTACAATTTCACATGAAAATTCTTTCCCTCCAAATGTCTATCAAGTTATCAGCAACATATATGAATGCAACCATCTTTCTGCCGGAGGTGTGAGATGCTACCCTTATCACAAAATATCCAGGTGCTTGGGGTCCCATTCTGTCCCACTGGCCACCTTGTCCATTTATTTCGATGTGTGAGACATCTCTGTTGGCATCTTTGCTAATTTCAGCAGCCCTGCGCCAGAATTCTAAGGGAGAAGAGAGCCATGTGGCCACGCCTCCTCAAAACTATTTTAAGATGAGAGAGTAAACCTGGACTACCCAGCTGCTGAGACACATCCAGCGGGGCAAGAGGAAAGGCAGCAGGAAATTCTGAAGAGGAGAAAGAGCAGGGGTCAGGTCTCTTGGGTGTCTCCTCTCCTCCCCTCTCTCCCCAGCCCCACGAGGGGTCCCTCTCCCCCTCTGGACCTCCGTCTCCTCCTGAGGACCGGTGGCCTAGATCAGGGAATGCCCCACCCAGCCGTCTGACTGTGATGGCCCCACAGAGGCACCTGCACAGCGTGGTTGAGGCACCCGGTGACGTCCGAGGAGAGGCCAAGGGTATCTAACGCCTCCCGGGCAAAATCTTCCGGAGTCTTCACCAGCAGACCAGGTTTCAAGTGAGAGGTCATATTTGTGGCAACCATAGAAGGGCTCACAATCTACAGGAAGGTGGGGGAATGGAAAGAACGTCCCTCAGCCCCCTCCAGGCCCAGGATCCCACCACCTGCTGTGGTCCCCCTTGGGATCTCCCAGGCCTGCCCTCCCACCACCTGCCGTGGGACCACTTCCCCCGCGGGGACCCGGGGCTTCTAAGTGGTCCCCACTAACACCCTTCTGAGTCACCGATCTCCCTCAGACAGTGCGCCTGCCCCTGTCTCTGAGTCTCTGCCATTGTAAGCACCCATGCCCTCTCCTATTGTTTGTTTTGGTTTTTTTTGAGTTGGAGTCTCACTCCGTCGCCCAGACTGGAGTGCCATGGCCACTCCCAGCCACCGCAGCCTCAACCTGCTGGGCTCCGGCGATCCTTCCGCCTCAGCCTTCCAAGTTGCTGGAACTACAGGTGTGCACTACCACGCCTGGCTAATTTTTTAATTTATTGTAGAGATGAGGT